GTTTCCAGCTGTGTAGCTGCAGAACATCATTTTTGGCAGTTATTGACCGTTTTATGTTGTTAAAAACATGTTAGTCTTTGTGTTGTGATAAATAAACAGTCACTAAATACTGCTGACACTGAGGCCTGAGTTCAGTTACAGAGCATTTTCTATCTAATTCAAACACCTGTCTCTCTTTCTTTCTCTTTTTTTGTAAAAGCTCAAAATCCACTGCTGAAATGTTTGTTTAAAGATAAAGATGATGTTAAAAGCTTTGTATGGTTTGTGGGTTTGTGTTTTGTCTAAGCTAAACCCACTTCCAGCTGATGGTCTCAGTTTGTGTGTGTATGTGACTGTTTCCCTCTGTCATCCTAACAGAGAGGAAACGCCACCGCCCCAGGAAGTGTCAGTCAACGGGCCGGTCTGAGCGCGAGCTAAATCCATCTGCGACGGTGCCGCGGACTGTGGGCCTCCTCCAGAGTGACTCCCCTAAATAACCTCACTGCAACTACGGTGTTTTTACTGAATCACTCTGCCATGTTATTGGACCTGGACACTGCCAATCAACACCAATAATGAGGCGGCGGAACATGTGTAAAAAAAAAAAAAAAGAAAAAGAAAAATAAGGAAAAAAAAAAAGAAAAATAAGAAAAAAAAACCCAACAAATCCAACAGACAGAATGGAGTGTAGAGGAATCATCTTCAAAGCCTTTTTCCCGATGTTGCACATAATTACGTGCGGTTTTAATGTAGCAGCGATCTTTTGAAACGACAGAATCCGAGGGGTAACATCATCATTATTATTTTTTTATGTCCTGAAAGATTTCTCTTCTACTTGTTCGAAGCTGTTGGAAATCCCATTGTTAGGGATTTTACATCGTCACCCCTGAATGGATAGCACAGGCTAACTTTTAACGATGCCTCAACAATAAATACCTTTTTTGAAAACTTTTTTTTTTCCTTCAAGCTTAAGAAAAAGCACTTATGCAGCCATTTACTGTACATTATAGCACAATGTAAGTGTTCTACCCTCATCTCTGCTGGCTGTCTTATCTGTCCCCTCACCCAGATCAAGGTTTTTATCCATTGTTTCCGTTTTTTCTCTCTTCGGTTGCTGTTGATGAAACATCTCTTGTTGTTATACATCACCAGGTTTCTGAATGTTTTGAAGTGCTTCATGAGGGTCCGAGGAGGAGGAGGAGGAGGAGGAGGAGGTCGATGAACAGAGCTCTAATAGTATTACTGTCATTTGCTCATGTGCAATAATGTCAATTAGCCATTTTATTTAAAAATGAAATTCAACATGTCTTTTTAAAAAGAATCAATCTAGAGTTGGAGACTCATTTGGTTTAGGTTTGGGCAAACAAATTTGAATATAATCTCAACTTTTAAAATTTTTTAATTTTCTTTTTGTTTTTTGTTTTTCTTTTTAGTGCATGTATAACCGGTTCTCTGTTGACCTAGCTAGTGAGCTAAGACCTTCTGATTGTATTGACCTTTAAGTTCTTATTGCTATTCCCCTTAAATCAACCAAACATTATCTACCTATATACAAATATTATCTACATTTAAAAGTAATTTTACAAGCAATCTTGAGATTACTATTGTCGTCTGTTCCTTTTTTTCTCTCTCTCTCCACCAAGCACTTACTCACAGGGCGAGAGTGGCATCTGGTAAGAGTGACGCTGTATGTTTTTTTGTTTGTTTTTTTAAAGTTTAATTTTATTTCTCTCTGGGCAGCAGGATTGGAAAGAGGGCAGGTCTGGGTTCTGCAGAGCTCCAGGCCTCTTTGGTGTACTTACTTAAATCATTTGACAGCGATCAGGTTCTACGATCATTGTTTTAAAAAAAATGAAATTAAAAGTGTCTGGTTGACCACATTAATACCAAAAGCTTGGCTTTGCCGTCTGGTTGTTGTCTTTCCACCTCTGCAAAGATCCAGCTGCCTGTTCCTGTTGCTGCCGGTGTTTCTGCTTCTGTTCGATTAGACCTCCGCTCAAGCTGAAGTTACTAGAGGTCACTGGACTCCATGTAAGGATGATAAAGATGTCATTTGTTCTGCCCTGACAGGTGCAACAAAGCTGTCAGGAGAGCAAAGGAGAAACAGTTGGCACAAGCCCACAGATTCATGAGAAAGGTTCTACAGGTCAGGGTCAGCTACAGATCAGCGGCCAGTAAACAACATACCATTGTCTGTGAGGTATCGTACAAACTGTAACTGCTGCTGTCCGTGTAATGAAAGTCACAGAGGTTTGTGGTTAAAGTTATTTTTATTTCCTCTCCATAGTTTTTATGGAGATTGACAGACTCAGGAAGTCCCAGGCAATAGAGTATCCATCCCAGTCAACTTGTGTCTGCCTTAATCGGATTTCTGGCAATGATGTTAGTATGTAGCACATACAGTGACCTTGAATGCACCACCGAGGAGAGCTATGGTGTGGTCACACAAATGCAGGCGAGTGACAATCACCTGCTGAGGTTAAATATGGTCACTGTACAAGGTGCCGCTCGCAGAAATCAGTTTGCTACCCACATGTAGTCCGTTTGCACATGTATTTGTTACTAGATGAGGCTGAGACTTTGCCGGTCAAAGTTCACACATGGCTGAGATGCCAATCTGCTTTCCCGCAGAAGCTACAGTTTTAATTGCCAATGTTGATTTCGGGTATGTGTGCCCCTGCTTGCAGATCCTCACAGCAAAATTTAACTTTGCCCCAAAAAACTCAAATGCAGCAAATGTTGGAGGATTGGATTACCTGTTTTTAAAGCTGCTCTTTTAAATCGACAATTGATGAAATTACTTAATTGGATGTGATGAGTGTCATGATGTAATGATAAAACCATCCAAAATCAAATTATCACCTCACTGCAGTTTTGCTCAACTCTATGGACCATTTTAGTTTCTTTCAGCTCATTGTTTTGGTTTTATGGCCTGCAACTGTTTGTGTTCAGTCTCACCACTAGTCAAACAGCAGATGCAGTTAGAAACTAGCTACATTTAGTGGTATTTAGCAGCTGAAGAGTGAACATTGAACTTCACATGAATTCTAATATTGCTCTGTCGCCATTTGCTAACTAATACTTCAACTTTTTAAGATGATAATACGCTAGTGTTCTGTTTTCAGCTGGGTTTTTCTGCCTCCAAGTGGTCAAAAATCTATTAAAGCAAGTTTAAATTTCAAGTCTGTGCAAGAGGATAGCACACCAAAATAAATGGGAATAAATCTGAACCGTTACGAAAATGTATGTTATACTTTTACAATGGTTAGCTGTAATGTGAAGAATACAAAATGTAAGTTTTCAGTTGCAAACAGTGGGGTGGTCCTTCAAAACCAGCGGATAGAAGGTGCAGAACCAGGTGTGAGAAACCAATAGCTACAACCCACGGACATGTTTGCTGAAAATTCTCTGAATTATGGATAAATGTCTCAAAATATACAAGCATGAAGAACCTTTCTAAATGCTTTCTTTCCACTCTAAACTACCTGATATAAGAATATTAGAAAAATAAAAATGTATGTGGCAAGGTTATTATAGTTAGAGGCCATATTATGCTTTTTGGAGTTTTCCCTGTGCTTAAATGTGTCGTAGATTTGTTTTGTGCGTGTAACAGGTCTGAAAAGTGAAAAAAGAGCTATTGCTGCTGCACTGCCTGACATCCTGTTTGTATTCATCCTTTTCTTCCGTTCAACAATGACATCAAACGCAGCACACCTGACAGTCCAGTCCCGCCCACTGAAACTTAGTGAATCTACCCCGCTTTACGCCATTGTTGTTTTTCTAATACCAGCGAAGCCAATTTCTGTTTCTGGCTGCAAGAACCAACACAGAACTCTTCATCTGCTCCTTTCATTTGAGGAAAAACTTTATGTTTGATGGCAATGTTAAGAGAAGGGTTATACAAGGGCCAGTACAAGGCTAAGACACAGCGGGAGCTGCTCTGTTGACTTCACAGACCAGCACAATGTCTCCATCTGAGGAAGACGAGAGCCGGTGTAGTCACTTTATTGTCAGTGGAAATGTTACAGAACTGTCCTCACAATGA